CCCCCCCTCTTATGCAATGGGCCAGGCCGTGTCTTGTTATTGGCTGCCCGCCAGGGAGGGCTTTCCGTGAATCGGCCGGGTGCGGCGTGGCGCGAAGTGGGGGGTGTGGAAGTTCTTCGTTGGTGGAACTCCTTGGCACCGGGTGCTGTCGTCACCAAAGCGTCACCGCGCTTTGGCGGGAGTTAAGCACGTGTGTAGGGCAGGTTCATCCCAGCTGAACAGCCAGGGATGTAACTTCTAATCTGGGTCATCTCTAAAATTAGGATAGCCGCTCACTGGGACTGCGCTGTACCCTGACCCCCTTCCTCCCTAAAGCATCCACTGGGCGAACTCACTAGGAGACTGGGCTCTAATGGTCTGATCCACTACGGGGGTTCTTATGTTGATATCCCATATGACCATTGCACAATTGGCTTAAGCCATGGTATACATTATTTTCCTGGCTGTTTTTAGTTATTCCTTTTGGCCCGTTTTTGATCACATAAAGCATCAAGATGAAGGTGCTGGGGTCTAAGTTGCATCTGAACTATATATTCTTCCCATGTCTGGTCATTGCTCTAGATCATAGTTTCTCAGCCTGTGGCATGCGGATGTGGATACCCCAATACTCTTTCTCTCTTGCCCTCTTTTCCTTTCTCTCTCTTGTCCCTTCCTCCTCAAAACTATGGCAAAAAATTTGGTGCGCCGTGCATTGTGCAGCGCTTTAAATTCCCCTGTAGTAATTTGCACAGCACTGGGTTCAGCCCTCCTAGCTTTGGCCAACGTCAACTCTAGCCCAGGTATATATGTGAGTTATGCACCTCTGGTCTTAAAACGTAGCAACACTACCCACGCCAGATCAGACATCTGTCATATCACAGCTTTATATACACAGCCCTTCTTCCAACATATAGCACACATTAGTCTGTAAATATAAAATCCCCTGGAAAATCGAATGTTGGGATACTTATTAACATTTTCAGAAGTTAGGGGGTACTGCTACTTAAAAGGTTGAGAAACACTGCTATAGATCCTCCGCGCTGACGGAGGATGCTGGCCTGGCACAGCATTTGCATCTCTAGTTTTTTATCAGCCCAAAGTGCTTTTCACACTTAAACTGTATTTATGTGCCAGCTTAAAGATCAAACCACCTACCGCCTGGGATTCAGCTTTCCAGGGGGGGAAACACCATGTAACAGTGTAAGCAGAGTGCTATGTAAAGAGTAGGCAATCAGGACTCGTAGTAGAGATGATATCTTGTATTAGACCAACAAGCTTTTTGCAAAAAAAAAAGCTTTAATTGCAAGCTTTCGGACACAAACACCCTTCATCAGGCATTGGAGAAAAGATTGTAAAACTTCTCCTGGGTAGAAATGAAAGTTCGTATTTCCTAGGATTTCACAGAGGAGTCAACGGATGGAAAACTTCTCGGGGCAGTCAGCTCATAGCTGCTCTGGAGCCTCTCACCGCTTGTGAGGATCTGTGATGATGCGAATTACCTTGAAGCAAAGGCAGGAGCAGGATCTCAGGCTTCAGGTGGTCAGAGTAGCTCATTTCTAATAGAGTCGACATAGGCAATTTGTGTGGGTTTTTTTTTTTAATTCCCTGGATTTTTTTTAGTTCTTGAGATGGAGTTTGACCAGGGCATGCCCATGGAAATCACGCTTGCCTTATGCCTCCCAGCAGGAACCTAGAGCAGGTTAGGCAGATGCAGAATAGATCAGGGTGCCATCTGTTATAGAAAGGTATTGAAAGGAGCAGCAGGGGCTAGCTTCAATCTAGCTTATATATGGATCTAGCACATCCCAGGAAGAGTGAAAGTGCTGTCCTGGAAGGACACGAGGCTGAGGCAGGTAGAGAATAAGGTAGATCAGCTCATCTCCTCAGCAACCTCCACTGGCCGACCTGCCCCCAGAAACAAAAACTGCCATCCCCTGGCTGGAGAACTTAAGAGAAAACAGGCAGTAGGAACAGCATTTGCCATCCCTGGGTGCAGCCATCAAAGCACAGGGGCCTGACAGCTAGGTGAGGATAGTTTTCAAAGGCTGCATTTATTTTAAAATAACATTTTTTTTCTGCCATCGGTTTCCCCCCCCCTCACATGAAAGATAGTGTCTCTTGCTTCCCAGATGCAACAGCCTTCACAACACCCACTGCTACAGCAACCATTCAAACTAATGAGCATCAGCAAGGTGATACTGTCTTTCCCCATCCTCAGTTTGTGGGGCTCCTTCCTCTCAACCACAGCAGAAGCAGCTGTTCCTTTCACAGATGTCCGAGCACTTCTCCAATCCAGGCACGAATCTCTCAAAGGGATCTGTTCCCAGCTTTTCTGATGTTGTATCTCCTTGATCTGATAGTGCTTGTCAGGACATGTCAGATCTTGAGACCAGAAATCATGGCACAGTCCTTTCAGAGGAGGTTTTTCATAGCATCAACTTCAGAAACAGCAGCTCTCTTGTTCCAGAGGTTCATTCTTCCTCCACCTGGCAGTATCACTTCTCAACCTCCATCATAGCACTAAACACAAGCTGCTTCAGTCTCTGCTCCTTATTCACCCAACTAACTGTCCTAATTGGACTTCTATTATAATGTTCTAGGGGAGTTTTTTAAAGGGACCTTGTTCCACTGTGCGACTCTTTTCCCTTTAAAATATCCTTCTCCTGCCATTTCTTTCCCATTAAGAACCTCATACATTTACTTTTACAAGAAGCACTTTTAGCTCTTCAGCAACCACAAGCGGATGGGATGTTGGCTTTTGGTCCACGTATGACTTGACTGACCGTGCGTTTCAAAACATAAGGTTCTCTTTGTACCCTCCCTTCTAAGGAACGAGCTGTATTTATCTGTAATGGTATTAATGAGCAACGCTATATGGCTACAACCGAAAACCCAGCAACTGTATAAAGAGACAAACTGCAACAAATCCACGGTCCCCTACAACTTCACAGGTGTCACCGTGCCACACACCATGGTCACCAGATGTTCCAACAGGCCCTGAAATCAGAGCCCATTTAAAGCAGAGGCCTCTGTATTTTGAGGGAAAGGAGACTCTCCAATAGCTGTGAGGTGTATAGGGTATTTGGCATCCCTGGGGTAAAGGCCAGCTCCGGCCTGGAGAGGGCAGTGGCGCAGCTGCGTCCCAACTGCTTTGTTCTAAACAATGAGTTCAGCCCATTCTTGCAGCACGACAGAATGCCAGTCATCACTATGTAGCATGTGTTATCTAACAGCTCGGCTGCTGTTTGTGGGATGATGCATCAGTAGAGAAAGACTCTCTGGAATGTGGAGCGTAAACAGAAAGTGCAACCAGCAGCATTCCAGCCTGTGCGTTAGACACCAAAAAATGACAGCTATGCATCGCAAAAGCAGCACGGGTTGAGACCTCTCAGTTCCAAACCTGGAACCTGACCTAAATTTTGCAAAACGAGCCTCTGCGTTTACAAGGGGTCAAACCAAAACCTTGCAGCCAAACACAGCTTTCCCTGCCCCATCCACTCACCCAGCCGCTGCGGGGAATCTGGCTTCAATGTCTATGGCGTGTTATCCGTCTCTCCATGAAACAATATGACAAACAAATTTTGATTGGGGACCTGCTGGCTGAATACTCGAGTTGTCTCCCAGAACTGAGGAGCACGAGGGCCCCTTGGTGGAATTTCCTTGTTTCACAGGGTGGCCTATCCATTCCCCTCGCTGTGTTCAAACACCGCAGGAAATAACTTGGTTTATGCAGGCTTCATTCATTCCCGTCCTCGAACTGAAGAATATGAAAATACACAGTCAAATGACAAGGGACAGACTTGCACTTCACTGGGCAGAACAGGAATTGCAGAAGAGCGCTGGACCTATTGCTGGACACAATGTATTACTGCATACATCGTCTGTATGGTTATATTGATGGGAACTGGAGTCACAACCTGATTCCACTTCCACGACAGCACCAAGCTCCAAGTGGTCATTAAGACCATAACCTGAAGTAACGTTCAATAGCTTTAGCTTCACTCTGGAGCCCCCCTGGTTTGTTCACAATGCATCTCCTGTTTGAGGCACTGCCCTCAGGGAAACTGAGGTACCAAAGATGTGGGGTAACTCTTGTTACTGGGAAAGGAAAAAAAACCAAACCAAGAAAAGCTGTGAACGTGTCAGGCCATGTTCAGCTCAGCAGTTTACCACTGGTACTAATGTGCATTGGTAGTTAGAAGTGAACATCCTTGTGTCTCGTGACTTAGGGCTACTACCTGGCTTGCATTTGAGTTGTGTTGCCTGGCAGCAAACCCCAGACTTTACAGGCTGACAAACCCCTTGTCCTACATTAAATACCTGTGAATTATTTGAATTAACACTTTGCCTCATAGGTAATTGGAGTTAGTTGTCATTTAAGCCTGGTGTGTTAACAAATTTTGATAAGAGTCTCTCTCAGTGTAATCAGGGCCCCTTTAAAGGGTTGCCTGCGTATAGTCTCCTCCCTTGCCCTTGCATCTGAGCACTTCCAAGGAATTTATCCTTACAACACCCCGGTGCGGTACAGAAGCCCAATCATTTCCATTATACACATGGGAAAACTGAGAACCAGGGTCTGATTCTGTTCACCAGCTGAGCACGCTCAATAGTGCATTAAGGGAGGTGACCAGGTTGTGCCACAATAGCACGTACCCTGGAGAATCCTGCTTACCAAGGGATTTTGAGGGGCAGCTTGCTTTATGTGGCTGGAGATTAATTTTGTTTTATATTTTTGGAGGGGCACTACAGTTTTAACTCTGATGCTCTGCATTTATACCGCAGGAGACAAAGTAAAAAAAATTAAATGCTTTTTAATTTGCATTTAAAAAGCCCAGATCTGTAACGGTCTCTAGTTCCAGGGAAATTTATTCCACAATCTCAGACCAAATAGCAACATATCATGGGCAGCCTGTGCTAGAGACTGGAACCAAACCCAGATCTCCCACACGGTCATCCTCATCCCCCAGCCACAAGGACAGCTCGCCCCCCCACTGAAGCCTGAGGAGCACAATCACTGCAGATTGGTTAAGCCACACTTTTTATTGAATTGTATTCCATGCAATATGTTCATGTTTAATAGTATGACAGGAGGGGGGAGGATAATGTTAGACACAAATGAAAGCCGAAAGGTTGTTTGTAACAGGTCCTGAGCAGGAAAGGCACATAGTTACCACTTAAATCAACAGAATAAAAACCTAAACGGAGGGAGACAACACTGGAGGCCATACAAGAAAGAGGGAGCTTCAAGTTGGTTTTTGGAGAAGTAGGTTACATGACCTATAGTTTCCCCAAGGTCTTTAATTCAAGTGAGCTTTGTGACCTCAATATGCAACGAAGCCCCTTCCCCTCTGCTGTC